GCCTCAGCCTTACCTGGCCTCCAATTCTCTGCTCCCCTTCTCAGGGCTGGGGTCAGTGCACCCCCAAATGCTGCACCCCCTCTGGCACCAGGGTCCCCACACTATCATGGAGCCCCTATGAGGCCTCCTCCAACCCCGAATAGCCTCACCCAAACCACCAGTTGTAAACAGTAAACTATCAACACAAACTCAAGCCCCTTGACTACAACATAAATTCAAGCCATCCAGCTATAACCACATTCAAGTCTGTCACAGGGTTTCTCCCTCTCACCCATAACAACTGCCCGAGTAGCCTAGCATCTTCCTTTTCCTCACTCTAGCAACTCCTATGGTTGTGGGTAGGGAGCTGTCTCCCTGGCCTCAGCCTGGGTTTATATATAGGTTAGGCCCTGCCCCTTCCAGTCAGCTGACTCACCGGTTCCCTGGGCAACCCACAGCTGTGCTTCTTTATCACTAATGTGGCTGCCCTGGTAAGCAGCAGCTGAGCTCCCCATTCCCTGCTAGGGCCCTCTGTCTAGCAGTTTCCACCCTAAGGAGCAGAGCACCTGTGTACCCTGCTCCCCTCTTTATAGGAGCAGAGCACTGAGGTGCTCTACGACAAGGATCTTGTGCTTAACTTTAGGTAAATATATCTGGAGGCATTCTTTCTAATTCTGTATGGTTATCTTTGCTATTCTATTCCTGTGACCTGAGAGTTATCTTTTCTACAGGTTTTCTACAACCATAGATAAGGTAGGATAGCCCTCACCTGTGTAAAGTGGCATAGCCCCACCCATGACTTCAGTGCAAAGTCCAGCAATTTGTCATCTTGGGCAAGTTTCCTCCTTGGATCCAGCGTGCAGCAGTTCCTTCACTATTTGATGATGGAAGCCCATCAATAGAAAAGATCACCCAGGGCAGCCTTGCTGTTTAACGTCCCCAGCATCAAAATAACTATTCATCCTATAGACTGATTCCTCTCTGGAGGACTGTTAGATTTACTAGCTGTGAAAACTTGCACTGAAAGAGCAGCTCTGAGTTACAGGGAATACCATAAGGAGGTCACTTCTTGTCCCTGATTCTGCTCCACTGTAGCCTATTAAGAAGGGTGCTATGTTTTCCCAACCTTCTTTATTTCCTTTCTTTTGCCTATCTAATAACTGTGAAATTAGCTCATAGGAGGTCAGTAATCATTAATCAATATTGCAGTTAACCGTGCCCAAAATCTACCAGCTTCATCCTCTGCCCTCTTTGCCCATCTCCTTTCCCAGCTGCAGACACTTTAGGGCTGAACCTTCCAGGCAGCAGCAAGTCCTGGTGCTCAGTTCTAAGGACTGCTCTACATGTAAAAAACTAAAATCCCTATGACATTGCTGGTAAGCCTAAAAGCACAAATGCCTTTGGAAAGGCAGGGGTAGGGGTGGGAGGATGTGTGTTTCTTTGCGTGGAATCACAACTCGTGGTAGAGGTGATATCTTTTATTAAATCAACTAGATTTTTTGCAAAAAAAAAAAAAAAAAAAGGGTCTTTAGGTCTTTGTGCAGATGCATTTGGGGTTAAAACAGGCCCTCTAGCGGTTTGCCTAAAGTAACAGCACCAACATTAACACAGGCAACACACACCAGGGCTGAGCTGCAGTCAGTGCTGGGTGCTTTGACTGACAGACTCACATCTGTCTGACTCCATTCAGTAGGAAGTCATTTTGACACACGCGTCTCAGCAGCAGCAGCAAACACTGATGCTGGAACAATAGCAGTAACGCAACCTTTCATTGTCACGCAGTCACATCACACTGATGTCAGTGCGAGACTGCAAAAGAACCGGGGAAGCCAGGCCCATAAAGGGGAACGTTACCTCTTCCCAACACACTGGGATACCAGATACAGGAGAAAAGACGCTGGTTCTCATGTATATGCACTGTTCTGCATCCGAGTGCTCTCCGCAAGCTTTGCCTTTCGGTTTGAATCATCAGTTACCATGCTGCCAGCAAAGGCCTGTACATATGAAATCCTAGACAAGAGCATGTTACTTTGAAGAAGTTTGGGGTTCTTTTTCCCTTGTCTCTAGAGCCACATCAATGCAAGCCACAAGCCGTGTGCTCTTTGATAATAATCTTGCATTTACATAGCACCTTTCATCTATTTTAAAAGAGCTTTACTAGCTACATGGGTATATTGACAAAAGTCATCCACAGGGATCCACGTCTCTGGTGGTTTATGCTTGTTGTCTCATTCAATTTGTGCCTTTTATGTATGCTAAGCTGTTTGCCAACATCCCCACCCTCATGTGGAGGGCAGAATGAATTGATATGGAGAGTGGTGTAGTTTGCCCTGGTGCGATGCTGCTATTTGCCTCTCACCCAGTGCTTTTCAGCCACAGATCTCAGATGTGCTTCACAAAAGAAGGTAAATATGCTTATCCCCATTTTATACAGTGGGTTAGGATGAAGTGACTGGCCAGAGGTTACAAAGAGGCAGGTCTCTGGCAGAAATAAGCCTAGAACCAAGGAGTCCTGATTCCTAGTTGCTAGTTTTGACCACTGGACCATGTTGCTACCGGCATAGCAGAGTCATAGGTATAGCTACTCCATATTGTTAAGGTGATGGAAGCTGTAGGTCTTTCATCTGCTAATGTTTGGTCTTTAATATTTACCCTTTATGTTTTGCCTTTTTGTCTTTGTACAAAGCTAATGGGAAAAAAATGTGTTGCCTCTTTGTATTGTTACTTCCATCAGTACTCATCACCAAAACACTGCTTCAAGGAGGGCTCTTTAAGCTCTCAGCTTTGCTGAGATGCCCTGAACAAAAATGCTGCCTGAATGATGCAGTTGTAGAATATTTTCTTTTTGGAAGTGATCAAAAATTACCTGTGCAGAGAGTGCCTGTGGATTAAAGTAAACCACAGCAGCACTTTACAACATTTGTATTTTGCTGACAAGTCTAAAACTATGTGCTTTTGAAGGGAGATGTGTTTCATAGTCAGTAGGGTCGGAAGAGACCTGAGCAGATCATCAAGTCCGCCCCCCTGCCGTGGCAGGAAAAAGAACTGGGGTCAAACGACCCCGGCAAGGTGTTCGTCTAGCCTAGGTGTAACAGCCTTTCTAAAAAATTCCTATAGTGTAATAAAAAAGGACACATTATTTATAGGGTTTCTTTATTCATTGGGGAACCAGGGTGGGGCTGTGTATACCATACTAGATTAGGACTGAGCAGGCCTGAATTCAGTTTCTAGCTGCCTTGGCTGGTTGCCCTTGGGCAAGCCACTTTACCTCTCAGTATCCTCATTTCTTAAAAGGAGATGGTATTGGCCTTCCTTGAGAACTAGTGATGAAGCATGCTTTATCAGAATAAAGATTTAAATTATGCACCCACCCTTGCCAGATAATTAATAACTTGAAAAAGGATTCTATTCCCTAATATTGTGTAAGGGGGGTTGATTTTGGTAGAAGCTAGAAAACTCATTGGCTCATTCTTATTAAACTCGATAGGACTTTTTTGTAGAGGGTAAACCAGCAGCCATATCAGATGTCATAAGTCAGAATGCTATGCTAGCAGTATTGCTAGGGTGCAGGATTTGTATTGCTCATAGCTATACTGGATCGGGGTCATATTTGGTCACAGATATCTGGCGCTAGTATTGGAAAAGGGCTAGGGGTGGGGTTGGGGCATTGAGTTTTCCTGAGTCATTACTTCAGGGGAGGAGTAGGCTGGATACAGGTCCTGCCTTGTTGAGTCCAGGTGAGCTGAAGAGGTAGGAACGCTGTGTACCTGGGGTGGGGTCCCTTGCTTGCAGGTGGCTGTGAATCCCCCCTGTCATTGTCTGTGCCTCCCGGCTGCTGCTGGCTCCAAAGTAACTATGCTGCTAGGACTTCCCCAGGTTTCAGTGAGTCTTAGAAAGCTTTTTCTGGTAGCTGGTGATGGAGACAATATACAGCCCCATAGCTGTGCCCCTCTGCAGACATGAATCCTATGAAATTTCTTCCACGGGGCCAAAGTCAAGTCTTAAAGTGAATTAAAGATTTGGAGGGTCGTTGGTTGTAGTTGTGTTGGTCTAAGGGCATAGGCAAGCAAGTTTGGGTAGGTGTGATATCTTTTATTAGACCAACAAAATAGTTGGAAGAAAAGCCTTAAAGATTTGGAGGTGCTCAGCTATGATAGTGATGGTGGTGGGGCATAGAAGTACCTCTGAAAGATGATGTTGGTTCTGAGCACCAGTTAAGTACCTTTAAATGCATGGCATATTTTGATCTGTTACTTTTTTTTTTTTAAAGAAAAGGTTCATTAAATATATTGACGGTTGCAATGTTGAAGGCGAACACAAATATTGCCAGGAAAATTTCTGGTTTGAAAATATGGTTCTGTTCCTGGAATTGGGGTCACGTAACTCTGAGCTGGGATTGTGGCTTTAACAATAATTAGTTTTGGGGGGGAGGGAAAGAGAGAGAGAGAGCCTGTGAGATGTCCAGAACGATGTACAAATTCTGCTTGGGAGCCAACCTTCGGAAAAGTGACAAGAAAACCAGGAGTGTCAAAGTTGCTTTCAGTCTGAGAACCCAATATCGTGTTCCATCAGCAGTGGGTGTTAGGTTGCTGAACAAGACATCAACACATGCCTTGCAGTGATTTGGATTTGTGAGGAATGCTATCAGCAAGCATTTTTTTTTTTTAACGCTTTTAAAATCAGTCAAATAAAAGAAAGATTAGGCAAGGAACAGAGAAATAATACAGGACCATAAATCCTTGCAATCCGGCACTAAATCTATCAAAGCAAATAATATGTCCCAATGGTGGAGGGACATTATTTGTTTTTGTTTTAAATTTGCTAAGCCTCGTTTTTTGAGCATCCGTCTCAGGGAGATGAGGGCCGTGAAAAGGCAATTACAACTGGTGAATGATTAGTGGTAGATGTGACATTTTTATGTGTCAAATATGTTTAACTGCATTAACCTTTGTGGAATTTACACTGACATCTTAAAAGATCTATCTCGCAAGCAGCCTGAAAAATCTGAAACCTCCCTCAACTTAAATCTTATTTACATTCATTTTATTACAAAATAAATGGGCCTAAAATTTTAATGGAGTTTTTGCCAGGTTGTGAAGGCATCGCTGCCAGGAAATCAGATGGAAGCAGGTGTTGCTTGTAGATTGCAAAGGGAAGGTTCCTTCTGCAAATGCACAGCTTTGTATGCGCACCAAAAAAAAGTTACATTCCAGTTTTGCTAGTGGATGTGCCATCCTGGAGGGAAAATCACTGAAAGAGACAGGGTTACACATCTAATTTAGCTATATTAGAATTTAATTTCCTGCTAATGAGACATTTAAGCTTTCAAGAAAGCAGACTGTGGTCGTTTGTGGACTTTTTAATCTTTACATATTATGCAGACTGTAAGTATACTTCCAAAATAGTTCTGTTTTTTTTTTTTCTGGAGACTTTCAAAGATTATACAGGCCATTAACATGCTGGGTGGATTGCTCCTCTCATTGCCAGTTTCCTAGCATGCTTGGTATCTGGATGCTTTGTTTATCCAGTTTTCCATGGGGAGCACTTCCTTCATTTGAGTCGTTGTGCAGTAGTTCCTCTCGTTGCCGATTCAACTCCATGTCTCTTGTGCTTCACTCCACTGAAATCTGATTAGGTACGAGACAGACTCCGGTGGAATGAAGGACAACAGAATCCATGGATCATTCTTAACTCAGAAAAATCGAGTGAACATAGAACATATGAACATGTCCCATAAAAAAGAAAAAAAACAACATAGCAGGTACAGTGGGATGTTCGTGTGACATGCATGACCGTGGCAGGAGACATGATATTTTGCAACGAGGTCCTATGTCGGCTCTTTTTTGCTGTAAATTCTCTTTGCTAGGGATTTGCAAGTCCAAAACTCTCTGTTTTTATTTGTAGCGTGTAACAAGCTGACCAGTGGGTACAACTGCTACTTACCAATGCCTGTGAGGGTTTCTCCATCACTGGAAAATCCTTAGATCAGCATGCTTTTTTTTCAGGAATCTTGACTAGCTCAGCCGGAGCTCCAGGTGCAGGAATCCCTAACAAGGTTTGATGGCCTGTGCTTTGATTGTGGTCAAAGTAAAAGGCCAAGAGGGTCCCCTTCCCAGTTTAAAATCTATAAATTTATGATTGCTGAGGAATAAGTGCATATACAGTTTTCTTCTATGTGTTCATCTTTCTTCATGATCTCTATCACCAGGAAAGAAACCTGTAACTAGTTAAGCCCAAACTCTTCCTTTCACACTTGGTAGGGGAAGAAAATATCTCTTAGTTCTAAACAGATTAATCCTGACTTTGGGCACTGGAGTCTGATTGCTGCAGGTTTGTTGTCAAGGACAAATTGATCACACAGAAAGGAAAGACTCTTTCTACCTTATAACATTGGTTTTGCAGACACCTTAATACAACAGTAAAACCGATTATTCACATTATGGTGGTGCTCCAAGCCGCCAGTCAGAATGCAGGTTCCCACTGGGCTAGGAGCTCTGCAAGCCCACGTGGATCCTGCCCACAAGAGTTTGCAGTTCACAAAATATAAGAAAAGCATGTTAGAAATATCAGGTCTAGGGTAAAAGAAAGATAGTGATGGAATGAAAGACCCTTTCAAAAGAGGACCACAGGGTGAAATCGCTTGCTCTCCTTTTGGAGGATGGCCCTCCTTTGGAGGGACCAATCCTTCCTCTGCATTTGGAAAGCACCTAGCAAATTCCGGGTGTTGTTGCAGTAAAATCACACTAGTCCTGACACTTTTGTCCTTCCCCTCCCAACAGGACAGCCCCTTTTTGCCACCCCTTGCAGAGATAATATTGGAAGCTTTAATATGATGTCTATAGCTTACACTTGCATAATGCCTTTCGTTGAAGGCAGTCAATTTAAGACATGATTTTTTTTTAAGTGTTGTAAAGCTGACACCAGATGGGAAAGAGAAGTTCACACAAAATAAATGGCTGGGTGGGGTTCAGTTAGGGAGGCAGGAATTAGGGCCTTATTCCAATCTCATTAGTAGAAAACTGAGCTGTGTCCTGTGCAGACGATCACAGGAATGTGGCTGAGACTTTCCAAGCTGCCTGGAAGTTGGCACCCAGTGTTCATGAAACGCAAGCTTTCCCAGGGTCTCTCTGAAAAATCTCAGCCCATAGCTTTGGTAGAGCATGGGATCCAGCATGAATAGGCTTGGAAATTTAAACGGGGGTGGAGAAAGGAGGGGATTGAGGGGTAGGATCTGGCAGCGATTTGCTAAAATGTGGGTTATTAAATCACATAGCTGCTGAGGTAGGGCTGGGGTGGGGGGTTCTTTTTACTTCCCTTTTAAATACAAACCTGCTTTCTGCTGCTGTGTTGAGGCCTCTCCCTGAGCTCTGTTGAGACATGTTAAGAGCTTTGGGGCAAGTTCTTGACAAGGGTGGATAAAGGAGGAACCCTTCAGCTGAAATTCCTCCTGCAATCCTGTCTTCTTTGAAATGCCTTTTTATCAGGCAAGTTCCAACAGGCGCTGGTGCAATAAACACCTACCGACAGCTTCCAGCACATTAACTCTTTGCAGCGATGGATGCAGCAGCATGCTTAGAGAAAGGACTGTCCCGGCCCAAAACCTGTTTGGCTTCCCTCAGGAACAGCTCAGATTGTAAAAGCAAGGGCACTTTATCAAAAGAAACTTCCATTTAAAAAAAACAGCATTAAAAACGTGATATCTCTGCTCTAGGGACCCACCTCCAAGAGCTAACTAATTCCCTACCTTAAATAACCCATTTAAAGTATATTAAAGGTTACCGATATCATTTTTTTGCAACCTTTAATTAAAGAGACACCTCTGGGTTTTGGCTGGTCCCCAAAGAGAAGTCTTGAGATTTAAGCTTCAGAATAAAGCCTGTCTCACACTTCCACCCAAGGGAACAGCAAAGATCCTTTGCCTCCTTACATGTGATGGGCCTTTATCTAAAGGTCAAATGAAATTGTACTGGACACCTCAGATGAACTTTAAAGTGAGTGAAAGTTACTATATTTGCTTGTCTAGTGAGGGCTAGAGAGAAAGATACTGGGTCTGAGACAAAGCCCATTGACTTTCTGCTGTCTTCAGTGCGCTACGGCTGAGAGCAATAGGCAGGAAGCCAATGAAAAGTTCACTGCTACTGGGGCGATGGCACCCGCTCTCCAAAATGTCAGTGACCTAGGGCCTGATCCCAAAAAGTATTAATCACAGGCTTAATTCTCATTGATGCCTATGGAACCCAAGCACGTGCTTAAAATTAAGCATATAATGGTAGGCTTTCTCTCTGAGCTGGTTTTCAGAAGGGCCGAGTCTCTGTCCCTCCTCCTGGGTGCTGTGGAGGTTGCAGAGGGTCCATATGTCTGAAAATGAGGCCCTTTGGAGACAGTGTCTTTCCTGATACTCAGCCCCTTACTTGCTTAAGGGGAGGGGAATCTGCCTCCTGCCGGCAGCTCGTTCCCGCTGCTCAGCTGCTTTCATGGCAGCACCCTGTAGTGATCCTCTGAACATGCCTGTACCACTGCAGTCACTGATATGAAGCCTTTCAATCTGGAGAGAGCTGCTGTTTTAAAGGAAAACTCCTCGGCGTCTAATTTCACGAGATGCATGAATGCCTGACTGGCTTAGCTTCGGGCGACCGGGTTGAGCCAACCCAGGATGGTCACTTGAGTTATCACTGAACAGCAATGGTTTTAAAGAGATAGCTGGAAGCCATTTCCAGAGCTCAAGACCCCAAGCTTTTAAAGCCTTTGAGAGGGTCTGGCTGCATTCCTTTCCATTAGTGCCGGTGGGAATAACACAAACAGACCCAAATGAAAAGCCAAAGGCCCATTGGCTCAGCAGAATCAAGAAGTAATCCCCATGGGTCAAGAAAAGACCCCAGTTACACATCTAATATTTCATTACTGACAACACATAGCAATAAATACCCTTCCATGACCACGCACTTTGCAAACATGGTTAAATCAATATGAGTTTTTATACCTTTTTCTCCTTAAAGAAAGATGACAAAGTGATGCTCTGGTACTCTTGAGGGCTAATATTTTTACAAACTTTTGATTTTTTTTTAGGTTATTACATCATTTTATCTGTGACAACAAATAGAAGGAAAATTATAAAACCCACTTTTATGAAACGATATATTAAAATAAGTTCACAGGCTTCTTACAATACAAGCAGCGTAGGCAAAAAAAATCTACCCACTGACATAAGAAACTAAACATCTATACCTGTCAGTGCAGGTCATAGGCCTAATTTGGTAGGTCTTTGCACTGAATAACTCAAATCTAAAATAACTCCACTGATTTTCACTGGGTTACATTCTCCTTGCAATCAACTAATACTGAACATAATTTTTATCACCTGCATACCTGCTTGTGTCAATTGCTGTCAGAAATAATCCAGTAATTAATTATCTAGGATTTAAACATCCATTAGAAATGCTTAAGATATTTGATTTTTTTTTTCTTTTTCAAGAACTGACTACTGCCATCAGTTTGCAAACAGCAAGGGACAACTATCTTGCTATTCAGCATGGCTACATAAACAGGGCTGCTGGTATGTGGGCAACACTAAAGCAACCTGTTGCAACCTATTTCCTTCCCAGCAGAATATCCTTCTAATTCCTTTCTTACAAAGCTCCCAACCTCATCACTTATAACAGAATATTCTACGTATAGCAAAGCACATTGTAGCACTGTTCACTCACCTGCCCCTCGATAAACTAGGTACAGTCCCAGTCTTGTAATAGCTTTACTTAACTTTAAACCAAAATAAAATAAAATAACAACTATGTAATGACTAGAAAGACAGAAAAGAAAAATAAAAAGTCAATTAAAAAAATCAGAAACTTTTTTTCCTTTTCTTCTTTTCCTTTTCTTCTTCTTTTCTCCTCTTTTTGATAGGGCTCCAGAGAAAGTGAAACAAACACATAGAAGAAAATGACTAGTCCTCTTATTAAGACTGTAGTCTTGCTTTCAGTTATCTTGTCCAGCTAAATAGACTAGAAGCAAATAAGAAGGTTTTGGAAAGAAAAAAGATGCGTGAGGGGTGGGGGTGCAGAAGAGGAAGAGAAGGAGAGGAGCAGATACCAATGAAGGAGTGTTGAAAAATGCACAAGACTTTTTTTTTTTTTTTTTAAATAGTAGCAAGGATGGAGAAGAAAAGTTCTGCCCATTTTAAGGTGGTGTCCTTCAGGTTCAGTCTTTATTCACGCTGTTGTTCAGGAGGCTCCAGTTACCTGTGGGCCCCAGCCAATGAAGAACTGAAGCACTTCACCTGACTCCACCTCTCACCCTCCCGGGAAGGAATGCAACGCTGCAGGTCTGACAGCAGGCCTCATCTGTCTTTCCCCTCTCCTTTCAAGCACAGCCAAAGGGGTGACTTCTGAATCAGTCCACAGTCAAGCAAAAGACCAAAGCAAGCTGGATGACTCCGACCCTCTTGTTCACTTACGTGGGGTTTTCCATTCTGGCCCAACCTGATGCGAGCAGGAAAGGACAAAGACAAACTTCCTGACCTTCTTAAAAGGTTTCTCATCCATGCACTGATTGCAACTTCTGCAATGCCACCGTGCCCACCACTTGAAGGAACGGCTCACCCCTCTCTTATCCCGCCTTTGTCAACTCCTTATGACTTGAACGGGCCAATGTTGTTGACAAACACCCTTCTTTTTGGCAAAAGAAAAAAAAATACAGATTTGGAGAAACCAAAATCCTTTGAAAATCTGTGATGATTTCATCAAATTGTCAGGTTTTAATCTGCAACAAACCTCACAGCCCCACTCCTGGAAGGCCAAGGGAGATGTTTTGGTTTTCACAGTTTTTAAAGTGAAGCAGCAACAAACAATGTTTCAAACAGTGTTTGGTTTCAACATTTCCTTCCGTTTTCTATAAAATATTATAACGTGTTTTCCCTGGCTGGAACAGAATGGTATTGAACCAAAGTGTTTCATTTGATTCCCAAATATCTTTTCCTTTCAGATTCGCTGAACGTTTCCAGAACTGTCATTATCAGTCAGACCTTAAAAAACATTTTTTTCTGAACCGCCAACAAACTGAAGCCCTTATTCACCCATGTGTGCTTACCAGAATGCCATGGTGCAGTCACCATGAAAAGCTAATTAAAACAACAAGAACCACCCTGTTAAGCTAGGCCAGGTACAGACATTACACTTTTACTGGTATAAGGGA